TACATTACCTTCAGTTGACCGCTTCCTGCACTGGCCAGGCACAGATAGTCAGTGAAGTGCAAGTCCCTTTTGTTCCGGGGGTGTATGTGAGCCTGACAAAGAAGTGATCTCTTTTAGGTCGTGTGTGTGTACACACACACACACACACACACACACACCCCTTTGCACCTTTTTATACGGTATTTGCTGGCCGTGTTTCAAAACAGGTCAACCAATGAAGGTGGCCAAATGTTTCAGTGTGGTATTTGCGGTTGTTTTGAACTTATGAACTGTGCACCTGTGCTCAGCTCATCTCTTCTCTATGCGGCTAATTGTGGTCAATTTGCTAGACTCAAAAATGCTCGAGTTAGCTTAAAGAGGTATTTGATTGCAGCGCATAGTAACCACAAGTCTGTAGCTATCTTTACAGAGTTTCCTTTTTAGTCTATAAAGCTTCCTAGCTAGATTATGATTATGCTTGCAGGATTCAACTGTACTCGCTTCTTACAACTTCCGGAAGGTTGCCAGAAGATTGAGGCCTAACAGTGCTTAGCCTGACACTACTTGACAAGACTTATGCACATTAATCACAGGAGGGAGGCCACTCAGCCTCACTACACACACACACCCTCAAGTCCATCTCCGGGAACGCGGAGATGGCACCCTCCTTCTCCCCCAGCTGGGAGAAAAAGTCTGCGTTGATGTGGTCCTTACCAGCTCGATGCCGAACCATGAAGGAATACGGCTGTAGAGTTAGGTACCAACGCCTAATCCGGGGGTTTGTTTCCTTTGCCTTTTGTAGCCACTTCAGAGGTGCATGGTCAGTCACTAGTACGAAGGAGCCGCCTACCAGATAATATCTTAAGGTGTCCACTGCCCACTTGATGGCTAGTGCTTCCTTCTCGACCACCACATAATTTCGCTCTTGGGGGAACAGTTTATGGCTGATATATAATATAGGGTGTTCTTCCTCATTGACCTTTTGTGGCAGGACGGCCCCCAGGCCCACCTCCGATGCGTCAGTCTGCAGCAGGAACTCCCTGTCAAAATCAGGGCTGAAGAGCACCGGCTCTTCGCTAAGATGGTCCTTGAGGGTTTGGAAGGCCTGTTGGCATTCGTTTGTACACCATACATGCCGAGGGCTGTCCTTCCTTAGGAGCTCTGTCAGTGGGGCCGTGATTGAGGCGAACCCGGGAACAAAGCGGCGGTAGTAGCCCGCTAGCCCCAGGAATTGCCGAACCTGTCTCTTCATGGTGGGGGCTTCATAAGCCTGTAATGCCTGGACCTTCCCCACCAAAGGTCATACTTGCCCTCGCCCGAGGGTATATCCCAAGTAGGTGGTCTCTTGCCAGCCAATTTTGCATTTCTTGGGGTTGGCAGTCAGCCCAGCATTCCCCAGGGCCCGTAGGATGGCGGCAACCTGGTTGAGGTGGTCCTCCCATCAGCGGCTGTAGATCACCACAACATCAAGGTATGCCACCGCATAGGCTTTGTGTGGCTGCAGGACCCGATCCATTAGCCTCTGGAAGGTCGCAGGTGCCCCATGAAGGCCAAAAGGCATTCGGGTAAACTGATATAACCCGGTGGGGGTAGCAAAAGCGGTCTTCTCCCGAGCGCTCAGGCTTAAGGGGATTTGCCAGTACCCCTTTGTAAGGTCCAGGGTATTGATGTACTGAGCGTCTCCCAGGTGGTCCAGCAGCTCATCAATCTGCGGCATGGGATAAGCGTCAAATTTTGAAATGTTATTGACTCTCCTAAAATCAATGCAGAAGCGGACTGTCCTGTCTCGTTTTGGGACCAAGATGATGGGGGGCTGTGCCAGTCACTATGTGACCTTTCAATTACCTCCAACTCCAGCATGGTCTGGACCTCCTTTTCAATGATTTCCCGACATGCGGCGTGGCAATGGCCTGGTTGTCTCTTGTATGACCTCCCTTGGGTTGGTTAATATCTTATGCTGCACCAGGGTGGTTTGTCCAGGTCTCGCCATGAACATCTTAGGGAAGGACTTTACCAGCCCCTTGTCCTGCTTCAGTTGTTCCTCAGTCAAGGTTCCCAACTGCGGCTCTTCTGGGTCAGTGGGAACTGGTAGTTCAGGTCTGAGGTCGGGCTCAGGGGGTTATGGCGTGATCAAGAGCGCCTCTTGCTCCCGCCAGGCCTTCAACAAGTTAACGTGATATATTTGTTTTTTCTTCTTTCGGTCAGGTTGGGACACTTCATAGGTGACTGGCCCAACTTGATGAATAACCTCATAAGGTCCCTGCCACCGGGCTAGCAGCTTCGACTCCTCTGACAGGAGGAGTAGCAATACCCTCTCGCCTGGGGCAAAGGTCTTCCACAGGACCCCTTATTGTAGGTTCATTCTTAGTCTTTCTGTGCTCTCTGTAAATTTTCTCTTGCCAGGTCGCCCACCCAGGTTAGTCATTCCTGCAGCTGAAGGACATACTGGAGGAGGTTGTGCGATGGGGATGGGGTCTTCTCCCAGTTCTCCCGCATGAGGTCGAGTAGCCCCTTCGGCTGTCGGCCATACAGTAGCTTGAAGGGGGAGAACTTAGTCAAAGATTGAGGGACTTCCTGGAGGGCCAGTAATGGGTGGAATCAGCTGGTCCCACTGGTGCATGTCCTTCATAACATGTCCTTCAATGTATGATTAAAGCGCTCCACCAGCCCATCCATCTGAGGGTGGTAGATGGACATTTGTAATTTCTTTATCCCCAAGAGGTCGCAGACATGGTGTAGAAGCTTCGAAGTAAAGTAGGTGCCTTGATCAGTCAGGAGTTCCTGTGGGAGGCCAACCCGGGTGAAGATTTTCATGAGCTCGGCAGCGATCGTCCGAGCCATAACACTTCGCAGGGGAATGGCTTCTGCGAACTGGGTTGCATAGTCCAAGACCACTAAGATATACTGGAATCCCGCGACACTCTTAGGCAGGGGTTGCATAGTCCAGGACCACCAAGATATATTGGAATCCCACGACACTCCCATGAGGTCCATGGCGATCCTCTCAAATGGGGTGCCCACAATGGGCAAGGGGACGAGAGGTGCTTTCAGTTTGCCCTTTGGGGCTGCTCGTTGGCAGTCTGGGCAAGAGTCGCAAAAGTCTCAGACTTCCCTATGTATTCCTGGCCAATTGAAGCGGGCCAGGATCCGGGCTAGTGTTTTCTCATGGCCCGGGTGGCCCGCAGCAGGGACATCATGGGCCAGGTGTAGAACCATCCATCGGTGGCATCGAGGAACCACAAGCTGCGTCCAAATTTCATCAGTCTGGGTCTCGCGGTTGATGATGGCCAATGACGATCCCCCACCATCTCAAAATGGGGGTATTTGGTTGCCTGGTGGGGCAGGTTCAGGGTCCCATTAACACTCGCTAGTTGTTTGTATGCCCACCTCAGGGAGGGGTCCTCCCGTTGGTCATGACTGAAATCCGTGCCCAATGTGGGGGTCTCTTTCAGTCCGAGTTCCCTTCCTTCCTGGATGCCAGATTTCGAGGGCCCAGCAGGTTGGTCCACCTTGTTGGGGTCCTCCAAGGCTTAGTCAGCTTCTTCTAAAGGTTTACCTTCAAGGGCGGCCTCGGCCGGCGAGGCCCTATCGGCCATTGTTTGCAGGAGCCCCACAAAGCCCTTCCAGTCTCGGCCCAAGATGACCGGGTACACCAACTTTGGGGCTAGCCCAACCATTGGGGTCCGGGTTTCCCTTCTTACAGTCAGGGTCACCAGGGTCTTGGGGTACAAGTGCACATCCCCATGGATACACTGGAGCTGAATGACCTCTAGGGGTGGTTCGGGCAGGGGGGCGAGACCCTGGCGGACAAGCATCTGCCCACACCCCGAGTCAATGAGCGCAGAGATGGTTGTTCCATTCACTGTAACGGGGACATTCAGCTTACCCAAGGGGTGCTTACGGGCCCGGGCCTCCCCTGAACAGACCTGCCCGAAACTGCAGTCCATCATTGGACACTCTCAACGGAAGCAGGGGCCGAGTCCAGGGTGTCAGGGTGGATCCAGCACAGGAGGTGCTGGGACTGGAGCCTCTGCGACCTGGGGTCTCTTTTCAGTGGGGGTATCTAGCAGTAGGCCCTGCTCTCTCTGGGGCCTTTGTCAGGCCAGACTGACTTTCATAGAATCATAGAATATCAGGGTTGGAAGGCACCTCAGGAGGTCATCTAGTCCAACCCTCTGCTCAAAGCAGGACCAATTCCCAACTAAATCATCCCAGCCAGGGCTTTGTCAAGCCGGGCCTTAAAAACCTCCAAGGAAGGAGACTCCACCACCTCCCTAGGTAACGCATTCCAGTGCTTCACCACCCTCCTAGTGAAATAGTGTTTCCTAATATCCAACCTAGACCTCCCCCACTGCAACTTGAGACCATTGCTCCCTGTTCTGTCATCTGCCACCACTGAGAACAGCCGAGCACCATCCTCTTTGGAACCCCCCTTCAGGTAGTTGAAAGCAGCTATCAAATCCCCCCTCATTCTTCTCTTCTGGAGACTAAATCCCAGTTCCCTCAGCCTCTCCTCATAAGTCATGTGCTCCAGACCCCTAATCATTTTTGTTGCCCTCCGCTGGACTCTTTCCAATTTTTCCACATCCTCCTTGTAGTGTGGGGCCCAGAACAGGACACAGTACTCCAGATGAGGCCTCACCAATGTCGAGTAAAGGGGAACAATCACGTTCCTCAATCTGCTGGCAATGCCCCTACTTATACAGCCCAAAATGCCGTTAGCCTTCTTGGCAACAAGAGCACACTGTCAACTCATATCCAGCTTCTCGTCCACTGTGACCCCTAAGTCCTTTTCTGCAGAACTGCTACCTAGCCATTCGGTCCCTAGTCTGTAGCAGTGCATGGGATTCTTCCATCCTAAGTGCAGGACTCTGCACTTGTCCTTGTTGAACCTCATCAGGTTTTTTTTGGCCCAATCCTCCAATTTGTCTAGGTCCCCTGTATCCGATCCCTACCCTCCAGTGTATCTACCACTCCTCCCAGTTTAGTGTCATCTGCAAACTTGCTGAGAGTGCAGTCCACACCATCCTCCAGATCATTAATAAAGATATTAAACAAAACTGGCCCCAGGACCGACCCTTGGGGCACTCCGCTTGAAGCAAAACGAGGGGTGCAGGTGTTGGGGCTGCTGGCCGGGATCTGGAGGAGTGTGACAGGTGTGCGAGAGGAGTGGAGTTGGAGGAGGAGTACGTGTCTGCAGTGCCAACTAGACATGGAGCCATTGATCACTACCCATTGAGCCCGACGATCTAGCCAGCTTTCTATCCACCTTACAGTCCATTCATCCAGCCCATACTTCTTTAACTTGGCGGCAAGAATACTGTGGGAGACCGTATCAAAAGCTTTGCTAAAGTCAAGGAATAACACATCCACTGCTTTCCCATCATCCACAGAGCCAGTTATCTCATCATAGAAAGCAATTAGGTTAGTCAGGCACGACTTGCCCTTGGTGAATCCATGCTGACTGTTCCTGATCACTTTCCTCTCCTCTAAGTGTTTCATAATTGATTCCTTGAGGACCTGCTCCATGATTTTTCCAGGGACTGAGGTGAGGCTGACTGGCCTGTAGTTCCCCGGATCCTCCTTCTTCCCTTTTTTAAAGATGGGAACTACAATAGCCTTTTTCCAGTCATCTGGGACCTCCCCCGATCGCCATGAGTTTTCAAAGATGATGGCCAATGGCTCCGCAATCACATCTGCCAATTCCTTTAGCACCCTCGGATGCAGCGCATCCGGCCCCGTGGATTTGTGCTCATCCAGTTTTTCTAAATAATCCCAAACCACTTCTTTCTCCACGGAGGGCTGGTCACCTCCTCCCCATACTGTGCTTCCCAGTCCAGCAGTCTGGGAGCTGACCTTGTTT